GATCACTGACCTTTTGGTTGGCAGCTGAGCACTTAGTCATTGAGCCACCAGGACTCGTTTTCATCCTACTCAGTAATTACAGCTTTCCGTGAGATAGCAGTACACATCTCTGAGTTCTTCAGTGGTGCAGATTTAGCACACTTGGCTAACTGAGAGCTTGGAGGTTCAAGTCCACCCAGAGGTGTCGTAGCAGAAAGGCCTAGCAATCTACTTCTGAAAAATCAGCCATTGAAAGCCCTGTAGAGCAGAGTTCTACTGCAGTACACCGTGAGTCAGAGTCAATTCGACAGCAATTGGTAATTAGAGTAATCAAATAGTTGCTGAGAGGAAATTTCTCTTCATAAAAGTATTGCAGCTAATAAATGAAGACAGAATGATAAAATTGAGTATCATCATTTGGCATACACTAATGGATTAATGCATGTGAAAGCCAGTCAATGAAAAAGGGAGACCGAAGAAGAGTTGATGCCTGTGAATTATGGTGTTGGCGAAGAATACTGAAAACATGGACTGCCAGGAGAACTAACAGATCTGTCCTGGAAGAAGTGCAGCTAGAATACTCCTGAGAAGCAAGAATAGCTAGACTTCATCTCACCTACTCTGGTCATGTCGTCAGAAGGGACTATTCCCTGGAGAAGGATATCATGCTTGGTAAAGTGAAGGGTCAGTGAAAAAGAGGAAGACCCTCAACAAGATGGATTGACACAGTGGCTGCAGTAATGGGCTCAAATATAGCAAAGATTGTGAGGATGGCGCACGACCGGGCAGTGTTGTGCTCTGTTGTACGTGGGGTCGCTGTGAGTTGAAGTTGATTCTATGGCACCTAACAACAACAGTGAATTAATGTTTCTAGGAAATGATCATCAATGACTTTTAGTGTAACAAAATGAGGAACAAGACATTATGTCTCCTGATAGAAGTCATATGACCACCTACCCACAAAAAAAATATTTTTTGAACCTGTATCTGATCAAAACCTCTAGACTAACTAAAATTTACAGAAAATAAAGGGGACGAAGAGATAATGTTAAAATGTAAGAAAGGAATACATTACAGACTATAGGAAATTTTAGGGACAAAGCCAGTTTTTCCAACAAATTGCATGGGAAAAATGAGAGGGGTGACCTATAGATTAAAAGAGACCTACATACTGCCACTGAGTCAGATCTGACTCATAGCGACCCCTCCTTGGGTTTCCGAGGCGGTATCACTACAGAAATAGATTGCCCAACCTTCCTTCTGAGGAGTGGCTGGTGGGTTTGAACTGCCAGCCTTCTGGTTAGCAGTCTAATGCCTAAGGCACTAGGCCACCAGAGCTCCTAAAAGAAACTTAAGAATCCTATTAATCATAATGCGTAGACATTGTTTGGACCCTGATTCAACGAACCTTATAATAAAAAGCTACAGGACAAACAAATGTGAACAATGCCTGGATATTTGGTGATATTAAGGAAATATGGTTAATTTGAGGGGTTTGTATAGTATTGAAGGAGCTCTAGTGGCACAGTGGTTAAAGCATTAAACTGCTAACCAAAAGGTTGGTGGTTCAAACCCACCAGCCACTCTGTGGGAGAAAAATGAAGCAGTCTGCTTCTGTAAAGCTTTACAGCCTTGGAACCCTATGGGGCAGTTTGATTTTGTCCTATAGGGGTCACAATGAGTTGGAATTGACTCAATGACAATAGATTTTTTTTGGGGGGGGAGGTTGTACTGTAGTTATATCTTTTGAAAGCTCTATCTTCTAGAGCCCTGGCGGTACAATGGTTAAGCATGAACCAAAACAGCATTAAACTGTTAACCGAAAGATTGGTGTTTCAAACCCACCAGCCACTATATAGGAGAAAGATGTGGCAGGCTGCTTCTATAAAGATTTACAGCCTTGGAAACCCTACAGGGTCATGATGAGTCGGAATCAACTCAATGGCTATGAGTTTTTTTGTTTTTTTGGGGGGGGGGGTTTGATATTGTGGTTATATCTTTTAAAAGCTCTATATTTTTTAGAACAGGGATCCTTGGTGGTGCAGTGGTTAAGCACTCAGCTTAAAAAGGAGGAAGATGTGGCAGGCTGCTTCCAAAAAGATTACAGCTTTGGAAACCTGATGGGGCAGTTCTACTCTGTCCTGTGGGGTGATTATAAGTTGGAATTGACTTGATGGCAGTGGGTTTGGCTTTGGTTTTATCTTTTAGACTACATGTTCAAACATTTACAGATGAATGAAATGACATCCAAGATGAGTTTCAAAATAATCACGAAAGTTAAGAGTGGGCAGGAATATAAAGGAAACAAGACTATCCACAAGCTGATAATGGTTGAAGTTGGATGATGGGTAACTAAAAAAAAAAAAACCAAATTCACTGTCGTCGAGTTGAATCTGACTCACAACAACCCTTCCTTGGGTTTTGAAGGCAGTATCTCGATCGAGGTAGATTGCCCGCTCTTCCTTCGAGGAGTGGCTGGTGGGTTTGAATCACCAGCCTTCTGGTTAGCAGTCAAGTACCATTATATAATTTTCTATAATTGGTATATATTTGAAACTGTGCTTTTTTTTTTTCCCTCACAAATGTCTGATGTGGAATTCATATATTTCACATGTGATGTGATTTCATATATTGAGGTCTTAATTTTAGAGAGTTCTCCATCTCTCTTATTTCTGTTGCTCTAAGTTCAAATTTTCCCAAGATTTCCTCAAGTTTAACTAGCTGTCTCTTTTCTTAATTATGTAGAACTTAAAGGAGCTTCCCCACTTTGCAGTTTTCCCATTCATCACCTGATGATACTCCTTGTCCTGGGAGTGGCTTCTCCTTTTGCAGGACTTAACAATCCTCCCTTTGTGTATCTCTAGTTCAGCTGTCTCCCAGAGCTGAGCTTTAGGATTGGGAGAGAGTCTTTTCCTGCCTTGGTTTCTGGCAGGAAAAGCAGTTAGTGGTAGAATTCAGCTTTCAAAAGCATTGCCCCATTTGAGTGATCCCCTGCTAATAATTTGTTCAGAATCACCCAGAACCTGGGTCTGTCTCTGTCTGTTCACTTTCTGCTGGATTGGATTGCCCCCCACAAGACTTCAAATGACATTTAGCATCGGTTTATATAAAAGCCTATTCTAGTCTGACGGTTCCTCAGCAAGTTAAACTTAGAATTGCTGTATGACCCAGCAAGTCCATCCCTAGCTCTGCATGCAAAAGAATTGAAAACAGGTGTTGAAACAAAAGCTCACATGTGAATGTTTGTAGCAGCACTATCCACAGTAGCCAAAGGTAGAAGCAACCCAAATGTCCGTCAGTGGGTAAATGGATACATAAAATATGGTCCATGCATACAATGGTAGGGGAGATCTGGTGGCGCAGTGCCTAAGGCATTTGACTGCTAACCAGAAGGCTGGCGGTTCATACCCACCAGCTACTCCTTGGAAGGAAGATTGGGGAATCTACTTCCATGTGATATCACCTCGGAAACCCAAAGAGGAGTCACTATGAGTCGGATCTGACTCAATGGCAGTGAGTGAGATACAATGGTAATTTATTCAGCCATAAAAAGAAATGAAATCCTGATCTTTTCTACCATGTGGATGGACCTTGATAACATTATGCTGAGGGAAAGAAGCCATACACAAAAGGTCATGTGTTATATTATTTCATTTGTATGAAATATCTAGAATAGGCAAATCCATAGAGTCAGAAAGCTGATTCATTGTAGTCAGGGTCGAGGAGGAAGGGAAATGGGTAGTAGCTGCTATGGGTACTAGATTTCCATTTGGGATGATGGAAATGTTCTGGAAATAGATAGTGGTAGTGGTTAGACAGTATTGTGACTGTACTTCATGGCACTGAATTATGTAGTTTAAAATGGTAAATTCTATGTTAGCTATATTTTACCACAATAAAAAAAGAAAGTATATTCTATTTATCTAGTCTAAATTTTAAGAGAAATCTTACATTCAGCCATCTAGTGCTTTGGAATATGGTCCAATCCAACAGACCGTGCAATTTCAATTTATAAAATAATAATTATGATCATGAAAGTCAACACTTATGTAGTACACTGTGCCAGGCACCATCCTAAATGTTTTACATGCATTAACTCATTTAGTTAGTTCTATTACTATCCCCATTTTACAGATGGGGAAACTAAGGACAGAGTGGTTAAGTATCTTACCCAAAGTCATTCAGTTAGTACGTAGGAGCCAGATTCTGACTCCAGACAGTGTGGCTCCAGGGTCTACCCTCTGAACCACTGTGCTGTGCTACATCCCTCACGGAGAGACCCAACTGAGAGGAGGAGGAGAGGAAAGCCTGAAAGAAAGGAGATACAAAACTAAAAGAAGAGAAAGAAATAAGTGGGAGAACAGTTGAGATTTTTGAGAAAAAGCTATTAACATGCTTGGCTGCTAACTGAAAGGTTAACGGTTTGAGTCTTCCAGAGGGCTCTAGGAAAAAAGGCCTGGAGATTTTATTCCACAAAGTTGACTATTGAAAAGCTTATGGAGCAGAGTTCTACTAACACATATGGGTTCACCCTGGTTGGAATTAACCGAAAGGCAACTGGTTTAGGACTGAAGTATAAAGTTACTCTGGCTTTCTTGGGTACAGCCATTTTTTGTGGAAAGAGCTATGGATAAAGAGTTGGAAAGTCTGGGATCTAACCTGGCTCTTCCACCATCTCCACATGACATAGAAAAGTTTATATGAGACTGTCTCCTCTTCTCTGAAAAAGAAAAGTTATGCCTATTGTTGTCCTTACATAAGGTAATTATAATAATCTATTCAGTACTGCTTGGGAAAAAAAAATGCTATCTAGAAGAAAATTCTAAGGACTTCCATTTCTAGATGAGCTTAGGATGAGTTTGGTTTAGCAACTGAGTGTAATAAAGTACTGTTCAATTCCTTGTTTTCAGGGAGCCATATTTGTATGTGTCTTATAGAACCCATGGTTGGACATGCTGACGGCAGGCTTCAGGACAGCTGAGCTCCAGTAGAAACCAAGGAAACCCATGGCTCTGGTTGCACCTTTCAACATGACCAGTACACAGTAAGTAATGTTGGGGCCCATTCCTTGTGGATATAGGGTCAGCATGTCAGAATCGAGTGTGCAGATCAAGAGCTCCTTCCCTAGCCTTGTGGAAGTAGAAGACCTCTCAGGTAGCTTTGTCCTTGAGCCCTACATCAAAATGCCTTGTTAAAATCTAGTTTTTCTCTGAGATCATCTTTAAAGTCATCTCATTTTTAAAGAAAATTTATTTCTTTTGTTGTTGGTCATTAGAATACACACAGCAAAACAGACACCAACCCAACAGTTTCTACATGTGCTATTTAGTGGCATTGACTATGTTCTTCGAGCTGTGCAGCCATTCTCAGTTTCTAGTTCAAAATGAAACTCATCAAAAAGATGAGTTTCATCTCATTTTCTAGTTCAAAAAGCAAGGAATTCTGCAATCCAGCACTGTTGCTATAAATCTTCCACCAGACAAAGGTCTTCTGATTCAGGACATCACAACATACACATTTCCTTTAGAAGGAGGCCATAGGTAATGGGGAAATCTTTCAAAAGTAAACCCCAAGATAAGATTAGGAAGAGCTTAAGGTGAATTCACAAAATGGGAATTGCAAAGAGATTTAGAAATCACGAAAGGATTCCTCGAAATAGGCTTTATGAAACCAGTGACCAAACCTCTAAGAGAGAATTACTTTTGGTTCCCCAAACCTAAGATGACATACGAACAAACTACTTAATTTTACTGTTGGCAACACCAGGCATTAGCAAGATGGTCACTTAGCCTGGGTTTTACAACTTGTTGGTAAAAATACCAAGAAGAAAGCAACATTCTTTCTTTTACACCACACTGTGCTGGCTTCTCTATGGGCTTGGCTATTCTGTCATCTGCAGCATTTGCACACTGGCTGAATCAGTTATCTAGTGCCACAATATCACTGCATAACAAGAAACCATAGAACCTCAGCATCAAGTGTTTATTGCTCACATGTCTGGGGCAGTCAGGTTGATGGCTCTGCTGATGTTGGCTGAGCTCACTCTTGAATTTGGGGCTCAGCTGGCTGTCAGTTAAGCTGGGGAGAAGACTGGACTCTGCTCCATGTGTCTCTCATCCTCCAGTAGACTCATCTGGTCATCTTTGAATGGTGGTACAGGTACAAGAGCACAAGCGGAAACTCCTAAGTGCCTTTTCATGCCTCTGCTGGGGTCACGTCTACTAACGTCCCATTGGACAAAACAATGATTGAACTCCGAGTCAAAAGATGGGGAAAGATGCTTTTCCTTTTGATGGGCAGAGCTGCAAGAGTCACATGGCAAAGGGCATGGGTACAAGGAGGGATGGAGAATGGGGCTCCTGACACACACAGCCTACCATACTGTTCATCATATCCAAGATCAAGGTATAGTCTCAGTAATCAGACTAGGAACTGTGGCACCCCACCAGGGGAGGCCTTATTTCTCTGCTGGGATGACCATGTTATCAGTGATGGTCCAGGACACTGTGACCATTCGCATAAAGGGAACAAAGGATAGGAAAGTCAGGAAAGCAGAAGTGCCAAACTTCTTGGAGCCATATCCTGTTAGTTCTAGAAGCTTACCCCAGCCTTCCATGGACACCCCACTGGTCAGAAAGCTCTGTTTGTTCAGTTCACCCATCCATAGTTTCCTCGAGTCAAGGAAAAAGGAAAAAATTCAGCCCAGCATCTGTTTTTTGGGAAACATCTGGAGGAGTCGGAATTCCCCCCATAAACACCCACACTTTTGTTTCAATTGTTGAGAAACAGAGAAGTCTCACATCCTGTTACTGTTCCGTCTAAAGATCCTGAGTCATTTTGTAAATGTCACATAATGATGAGTACTATTATCTATGCTTGACAGGTAGCAAAAAGCAAAGGTTTAAATAAGGTCTACAAAAGAGAATTGGGGCACTGGAAATTTCTTGGTGAACTCAGGTAGTTTAGGCAGTGAACCTGTGGTGTTCAAATAAAAATCCCACTTTTCCCTCAATTATCTGGATGGTTCAAGCAAAAGAGAAGAAGGCATATTCGGCTGTACGCTTTTTGGATAACTGCTGCTGTGTATTATGGGTTAGATTTCAATGGTTGTTGGAAAAGAGAAGTTTAGAATTTAGAGCTACCCATCTGCAGTGTAGGGTCTTGTCACCCCAGAGCTCCTCCCTCCTGTCCCATGTCACTCTTATCCATATCACATCATGAAGTTAGAAGGAATGGTCCTTAAGGAGAATCTGTTTTACCTCCTTATGTTTAAAATGGAGAAACACAAGCTCCAAGAGGGATGCCACAGGAGTCGGCATTATACCCAGGACCAGAGCTCAGGCGCCACGGCTGCTGGCCCAGTTCACAGCATACTGGACTGCCACTTCAGTATTGAAAGTGGTCTCTCATTACCGTGGGGAGCTCTGGTGGCATAGTACCTAAGGCATTTGACTGCTAGCCAGAAGGCTGGCGGTTCAAACCCACCAGCCACTCCTTGGAGGGAAGACTGGACAATCTGTTTCTGTAGAGATACCATCATACCCTGGGCACGGACCCTCAGTGTTCCCTCAAATATTTAATTTTCACTCTCCATTCTCACCATTTTCCTTTCAAATCCTCACTGGCCAGCGAGAGAAGATCCACATCCTCAGATTCTACAGGAGATAGAGCCAAGGGTATGTTGGAGGGGCCAAAGATGGCCCCCCAGGAAGTTAAAGCAAGACAATCTATGCTCAGCATCACTTAGCAGGGTTGCTGCTGTTGGTGTTTGGACAGGAGAGTTCTTAGCTTTTGGACATACAGCAGGATGTATAATATGTCCCTTTATAAATGTCAGTAGTGACCTTCCCCCCATACTCAATGTGGGAACCAAAAATGCTCCACACGTTGCCAGATACCCCATGATGGGTAGAAGGATCCCTGAGATATGAACCAAAATGTTGGCTGTTCAAGCCCACCCACTCAGAGGCGCCCCAGAAGAAGGCCTAGAGGTCTATTTCCAAAAGATTGTAGCCAGAAAAACCCTATGGAGCAGTTCTACTCTGCAACACCATGAATCGGAATCAACTCAACAGCAACTGGTTTTGTTTTTGTTTGGTTTGGGTTGAGAGGTGGCACTGCCCCTGGTTGAGAAATCTTGTAATACCAATGGAGTTGTCAAGGATTATAAGTGCCCTAGGTGACTGTGGTAGGAGAACACTCACAATTACTCAGACATTTGATCAAGTGACCCCCCCCCCACTTCATAGTCCCAAGCTTAAAAAGGCAGATATAGTGGGAAGAGTGCAGGTGGAAAGAGTGGCAACAAAGAGCAGCTTCCCTTTCCTGTCCCACACTTTTTCAAGGCCCACACAGCCTCTCCAAGTCTCCAGACACCAACAGTGCAACCAGTTGTGAACAAAAACCTCTCTACATTATATGTTGTTGTTGTTGTTATGTGCCATCGAGTCGGACCCGACTCCTAGCAACCCCTCCTTGGGTTTCTGAGGCAGTATCACTATGGAAGTAGATTGCCCAACCTTCCTTCTGAGGAGTGGCTGGTGGGTTTGAACCGCCAGCCTTCTGGTTAGCAGTCAAGTGCCTTAGGCACTATGCTACCAGAGCTCCCCTTCATTGTATAGATGGTAGAAGACAAGGAAAGCCAGGAAGCAATTTTTAAAAATATATTACTCCAGTGACCCAGAATATTTGTCCTGAAAGTTGAAGTCATAGTTTTCCTGGTTGGTGGGATTATCATCTGGGCCTTTACCTTCCTTTGATGGGAGATCCCACCCAAAAAGCTCTTATTTTCAGATCTGAGCAACTCTTCTTCCCATTCTTCTACTTTTCCTCAAAAGGTGAAAGAAATGGGGCTGGTTAGGGACTCAGTTTAATCCCTTGCGAGACCAGTGAGGATGAATGGCAACCTCACACTTCCCCAACTCTCTACCTGCACAGCCTAGATTCCAGTACATTCTCCCTCTTCCCCATGGGAAATGAAAAAGTTATTTTGTTCTTGGGGATGACTGTTCCCTGTTGCCCTCCTCCCCAATTCAGGCTTGCCACAGAAGGAGGAATTTCCGAAGTTGAAATCATCTCCCAACAAGTAGACGAAGAGACCAAGAGCATTGCTCCTGCGCAGTTGGGAAACTTTGCCTATCGGGACTTGCCCCTGGCTGCTGTTGACCTCTCCACGGAGGGCTCGCAGCTCCTGTCAAATCTGGACGAAGATTACCAAAGAGAAGGGTAGGTGTTGGAACCGTTGAGCTAGCTAAAAAGTCTCTTGCATAACTCCCTGTGTTTCCATGGGTACCTCTCTCGAAGCAGCAGCAGAGATTAGAGATGCTAAAGAGTAGGAGACCGGAAGTTCATGTCAGTCCACCGAGGCCCTTTCTCTCCTCAGACATTATTTCCTCTGAAAAAGGCTTTGGGCACAGAAAATACCTGTCGCTGCTAGACAACCTCCTTCGTGACATTTACTTGGAACTCAGAGAATCATAGCATTTATTTCAGGACTGAAGTGCTCCTTAATGATCCATCCAGCCCCTGTCTGTACACTTGGGAAACAGGAGACCCACAGGAATTAGGGACTTGCTCAAGGCCACAAAGCCCATAAGCAATAGACTTGGACTGCACTTCTGCAGTTTCTTCTTATCAAGCCAATTTTTCACCAGGAAGAAAACACTCTGCATGCACTTAACATGCTAAATATGTAAGGGAATTTAGCAATTGTTCACCTGGGAGCTTTGCAGACATTAGCTCCTTCTCTTCCCAGGGAGCCCTGGTGGCACAGTGGTTAAGTGCTCAGCTGCTAACTGAAAAGTCAGTGGTTCGAACCCAGCTGCTCTGTAGGAGAAAGATTTGGCACTCTGCTTACATAAAGATTCACAGCCTTGGAAACTCTATGGGGTAGTTCTCCTCTGTCCTACAGAGTTGCTGTGAATCAGAATCAACTTGATGGTGTCAGGTCTCTCTAGAGAGGACACATAAGCTACATTGTTAGGTGCTGTCCTATCAATTTTCCAGTCATAGTGATGCCACGTAACAGAGAACTGCCCCACAGGATTTCCTATGTTGTAATCTATAAGGTCGCTATGAGTCAGAATCAATTGTATGGCAATGGGTTTGTTTTCTGTCGTTGTTGTTTAATCTTTACAGAAGTAGATCACCAGGTCCTTTCTCTTGCAGAGCCACTGGGTGGGTTCAGACTGCTAACCTTTTGGTTAGCAGCTAAGCACTTAACCATTGCACTACCACCTGGCTTCTTCACATGGGCTATGCTGATCCCTGATTTGACACTGACCTCCACCTCCTTAGCTTGTGAATCAGATTAGATGCCTTTGTCTCCCAATTGTCATTAGCATAATGTGTCTTGCACGCATCCTTTCTAAAGGCAAATTATAGTGTTAGAGGAGCTCCATGTTGTTGTTGTTGTTATGTGCCATCGAGTCAGACTGGACTCATAGTGACCCCTCCTTGGGTTTCCGAGGCAGTATCACTATGGAAGTAGATTGCCCAACCTTCCTTCTGAGGAGTGGCTGGTGGGTTTGAACCACCAGCCTTCTGATTAGCAGTTAAGTGCCTTAGGCACTACACTATGCAAACAGTTAAGCACTGGACTAGTAGCTGAAAGGCTAACAGTTCGAACAACCAAGTAGCCCCTTGGAAGAAAGACCTGGCAATCTGCTTCTGAAAGATCACAGCCTTGAAAACCCCATGGGGTCCCGTTCTACTCTGCATACATGAGGTCATCATGTGTTGGACAGATTCCACAGCGACTAACAGACTCACCAGTCTGACATACTCATGGGGGATGGAGGAAGTTGGAGGCCAGAAAAAGACAGGAATATAGGTCCTTGGGTCACATAGCAGGTCAGCTTCAGACTCCCACCAGGGCTGGCCCCAGGCCCATGCTGTCGCTCTTCAACATTGACTTTCAAGCATTGGCAAGGATCTTCGGAGCCAATTCTGTGGCCTCCTTTTCCAGGTGTCCGTAAATATTTTGAACATGCTGGCTGCTTTGAAAATAAAAACAAGGGGTTGATGGGTGTTTTAGAAGCAAGTCTCCTTAACTAAAGCTAAATTTGCAGAGCTAGAATTCCCCGTGCTTGTTTCCTGAAGGGGCTCCCCTCCCTTCCTGAGATAAATTGCCTAATAATGATGAAACCTTAAACCTTTTTTTGCAGAAACTGTACCCTAGTGGCTTTCTCTGAAAACACAATGTCTTCCCACTATTGTGCATAAAGTCAGCATAACATTGGAAAAGAGAAGAGGAAAGCTGGTAGGAGATAATGCTAAATGACTCCTGCTGGTCATGGCACTGGCCTGAGCACCTTCTCTGATGGCGGGGGCCAGCCTCTCCCAGGTCCCCACAGGCTTCAAAGCTGGCTAAGTCCTTGAAGCCCCTGAGCCAGAGCCAAACTTCATGGGTTGCACCACCTGTGCAGTCGCAGGAGGCCCCATGCTTAGAAGGCTCCTATGCTTAGATTAATACTCTGCTGTAGCTGCCTTGAAATTCTTAATTATTTCTAACCAGGAGCCCTGAGTTTTCACTGGGCTCCACAAATGTGCACCTTCTCTGAGCACTCAGTAAGTCACAGTGCCACTTCCCTCTGGTGGTCAAATGCAGCAGTGCAGCCTCTTGACTGGCCCTACTAGTTGGAAAGGACTCCTTTCCCGCCCGGGCTTGAGCCAGTGTTAGGCCCTTTTCAAGTTTACAGTCAGAGGCATGTAGAGAAGTGTGAAAGCCTCCAAGAATTCCAGGTCAGGACAGTGTCCACACATGCACTCTGTGGATGTACTGTTCTGCAGGGGTACCACACTGGGTTTAATCAACATAGGTGTAGTTTGTGAAGCGGTATACCACTCCAACGTTTGAATGGAGGAGAGGGTAGGAAGAGGCCTCGCGGGTATGTGCACGGATTCTTCCTATCAGCTAGAATACAAAGGAAATGCTCCCAAGGCAGAGAGGCTCTTGATTTGATTTGAATCTCCAGGTGTGTCGAGCAAAGCTGCTCCTGGTGGGTAAATAGGAAGCTTCCCGGGAAGGGATTTGCCTCACTGCTGGAGCTCTCAGGTGGGAGTCCAATTGGCAGCCAGAGGGCTTCCTGGAGGAAGGAAGAGCAGACCAAGGACCAATCCAGAGAAAACTGAAGCAAAACAAAAGCACAGTGCAGAAGGGGAAAAGCCTCCCTTCACAAGGCTTCTGCTGCATTTCCTGGGGTTTTCCCAAGATTTCCAACTTGGCCCTTTTCCTGAAGCCATGCAAGACAACTGCAGTTCTAGTGTTGTTGTTGTTGTTATGTGCCATCGGGTCGGACCCGACTCATAGCGACCCCTCCTTGGATTTCCGAGGCAGTATCGCTACGGAAGTAGATTGCCCAACCTTCCTATCGAGGAGTGGCTGGTGGGTTTGAACTGCCAGCCTCTGGTTAGCAGTCAAGTGCCTCAGGCACTACACTACCAGAGCTCCCGCAGTTCTAGTAGGTCTTTGGAAAGGTTTGGTTTAATTAAATCTTATCCAAAACATCTGTTCCTTTTTAAGGACGTGTCATATATAAGTTAGGTCCCCCAGTGGTGTAAATGGTTCTGCCAACCCACAGGTGACATTTCATACCCACTCACCAACACCATGGAAGAAAGGTCTGGCCTTCTGCTTCCATAAAGATTACAGGCGAGAAAACCCTGTGGAGCAGTTCCACCCTGTCACCCAGGGGGTCGCCATGAGTCGGAATCTACTCACTGACAACCGCTGGTTTGGTTTTTAATATATAGGTTTTGTATAGGAGTGAATCCTTCCTGTAAGATATGAAGATACCTCAGGGTCCCCTGCAGGAAAGTACCCAGGCTTTTGTGGCTCAGGTCATTCAACTTCTCTTCCATTCACGTTTCTTGAGCACAGTGATCTTTAGAGCCAGAAGAGACCTTAGAAAGCATCTCTCCTAAATATTCTACTAGAACACCAGGGCCCAGAGAGTGGAAGGAACTTGCTCAAGGTCACACAGCAACAGAGGCAGGAATAAAACCTGGTCTCCTAGTTTCTGATGCAGGCTAGTGCCCCTGAGCTTCCATCTGTCCCCTCTATACAACATCGTGATTGTGACTGTGGCTGACATACATTGTACCTGTGATGTACACTGTCTAATGCCTTTAACTTTTTGGTATGTTTTTAAGTCTGTTTCCCCTTTTGTCCATGAAAGCTTTATGACATGCGTAAGAAGTCACCTTAACACAGGGTGAACCCTGAGGCCATCTTGGTCCAGCTCTTTGACTTTCCTAAGAGCCCTGTGTCTTGCTACTCCTGACTAGCAGAGCCCTAACTGCAGGGCTATCCTACCCCCTTCCCTTCCACACTTAGGGTGCATGGATTCAGGGAGAAAAATCAGACAACTATGCAAATCCATGCCTCCCAGACTCAAGGTTTACAGCTTCAACTTGATTTTCAGTTTTGCCTGGGGGTACTCCCCATGTTCCTGATTGACTTTCACTCCCAATCCCCAAATTGCCATTTCAGAATGCTTCATTTTCCTCAAGCCCTCTCTTACCCTCAGCAGGTTACCTCCACTCTTCTTTCCTTCAGAAAGCAGAAACAGTTATAAATGGGCTGCACAACACCCCTCAGCCCCTCCATTTCTCCCTTCAGGGACACAGCTTCCCTGAGCTCAGATTCCCTCCCCTCTCACCTTGCTCTGTCAGTTACATCCTCACCCCATATCGTCACACCCACATATCCACCTTGACTCCGTGTCCCGGAGTCCTCTTTGCAGTCAAACTTCCATCTCCCTCTTCCTCTTTGCAGTCAAACTTCTTAAAAGCCTCATCTGCACATGCCATCTCTGCTCTGTCCCCCATTCCTTTCTCAGTCTACACAGTCTAGCTTCAGCTTCATCCCCGCTGTGAAAACTGCTCTCCTTAAGGTCATCAGTTACCTCTTTGTTGCTAAGGTGCTGGTATTGCCCTCTGTCCAGTGTCTGAACCCACTCCCTCTCTCTCTCTCTTGAAACACTCTCTTCTCATGTCTGCCTCTGTACCGCACACTCCTGGTTTTCTTTCTACCTTCTGACTGCTCTGGTAGGTCATCTAAGAAATGATTCCTCCCCTGCTTGTTCCTTAAGTGCTGCAGTTCTCCGTTTCATATGTTTGGCCATTTTCCCTCTATTCATCCTACACACTGAGCGATGTCATCCATTTCCATCCCTTCAAAACGAGGAACTTTCAAAGCTCTGTCTGTAGCCCAGATCTCACAA